CAGGTCCAGATCACTAGCAAAGTAGGTGAATGGGACAGAAAGCTTATTATATCTTCCAGTTAGATGGTGGAGAAAACAGGGGTCTTGGATATATTATACCACCAGTCGCATGATTGAATAACTTTATTTTTGATTGCACCAACCTGAACTGATGCTAGATTTGGACCTTCTCAGTTATTTTGGGGCTGGAGGGGTCAGAGGCGCCAGATGAGGTGCATTTGCTGCTGGCTATGTCAGACACATTCAACCACTGTTGGTGCATTTACTGTGCCCATAGAGGTGGAGGTGTGGTGACTGTCATCTGGGAATTGCCTATGGCTTTGAGGGGCACTGCACCACAGGTCACTGGGAACTGAGACCCTGTTCAGTAAGTTCAGCTCTAGGGTCACTTGGGATTGCTGCTGTTGTACCAGTCTCTCTGCTGCATAGTAACCTCCCTGCCTCAGCTCCTTGACTTCATTTCTGGACTGGCAGTGGAGTTCCCCAGACTTATGGTCTTGGGGACTTTAATCTGTCTTCTCTGGGGGTGAGGTCTCAGGTGGCTCAGGAATTCATGGCCACCATGATGGCCATGGGCTTATCCCAGGTCATCCAGAGCTTGACATGGGACAGTGGCCACAGACTGGATCTGGTGTTCCTGTCGGAGCAGTGGCTATGTGATCTGAAATTGGGGAAGCTTTTGGTGTCCCCCTTGTCATAGTCAGATCATACCCTGATTACCATGGGATTCTCTGGCACCATCATCTACTTCAGGGAGGCCAGATCCATTAGATCAGTATTCCCCCAGCACCTGTTGGATCCTGATGGGTTTCAGAGGGAGCTGGGGTTGTTCCTCCTGATCTACTCCATGGTCCATCTGATGCCTTGATTGCTGCTTGGAATAAGAGGACGGCTGAGGCCTTGGATCAGATTGCATCTATATGATCTCTTCCCTCTCATGGATCATGTCACTCCCCATGGTTCAGATCTAGAACATCGCTGACATTCTACAGGGACAAACTCAACCAGACATAGGTTAGAGCAGCTATTAAGGTCTACTTTGTGGCAGTAAGGACTGCTAAGTGTCAATA